AATGTTTACCTTTTTAAGACACCTCCGTTGTGTTTTCATTAGTGGCTCTTACCACGTCCCACTTAGCACCAAGGGTACCCAATTCTCCACAACCCCTTTATCATTCATTGTTTGCACAATTTTTGCCGATGGCCATTCTGACTGCTGTGAGCTGATAGGGTTTTCTAATTTGGATTTGCATGTGTTACATATTTGTTTGATGGAACGGTATCTGTGCTAATTTGAAAGTCTTGTCAGCCCACCTCACCTTTCCCCTTAAGCAGGCATAAGTGTGTTTTCTAAATGTGTGACTCTGTTCTGTTTTGTAACTCAGTTCATGTGTAGCGATTTTTCAAAACCCCCTCTAAGTGATATCTTATGATAAGTTTCTTTTTCTGTGTGACTTACTTCACTGAGAATCATCGTACATAAATCCACTCATTATGCTGCTACTGGCCTTATGACGTTGATTTCATGGCTGAGTGAGATTCCATTGTACATAAGTACTACAACCTGTTTATCGAGTGAGATTCCATTGTACATAAGTACTACAACCTGTTTATCCATTTTTCTCTTTCCTGGGATATTTAAGGTGTGCCCGAGTCGAGGTTCTTGTAAACAGATCAGCCCGAAATTATGGGGTGCCTGTGTCTTGTCGATTTTTGGTTTTCCGAATATATACGCCCGTAAGCGGAAGTGCCCTGTGCTCTGTAGCTCTGTTTTTCAGATGTTTTAGGAAACACCATACACTTCTCCAGAGTGGCCGTTGGCAGTTTACATCCCCCCCATCAGCATAACAAGGCTCCCTGTTCTCCATGGCCTGTCCTGCCTTTCTGGTTTTTACACTTTTTTCAGATGGCCCTTTTGACCAGGGGGAAGTGAGACTTCACTGTAGCGTGGATTTCCATTGCAAGCTTGCTCGGTTGGCCAAAAAGGGCGTATGCGTTTTTTCCTGAATATATTCAGGAAAAAACGCATACGCCCTTTTTGGCCAAGGGCATCCTTGTCGGCGTTCTGCCTATTTTCATAGGCTTTAAATGCAATTCCAAACCACCTCCTGAAATCGGTTTCCTGCAATTCTGCCTCACTTTCAAGTCCTCTTCGCAGCCTTCCTTCAATATGTTTTTGGACGAAAGCTGTCATTTATAACTCTGCAGGTTTGTGAATTCCAGTGCCCCTGAGCTCCTTTTCTCCCCTCGCTTTCTTGTGAGCTGGCCGCAGTACGGCAGGATTGCTTCAGACCCTAGTCTGGTTCAGGCACGGCATGCTGAGGCTTTGGTTAATTCTTCTTGCTGGTGGGCAATTAGAGGTAAATGTGCCCGTGCAAACACCTACAGCTAGTCTCTCATTAGTTCCCCATCTTCCCCTTCATCCTCCGGACCAATTGCAAACTGTATGAAACAGGAGGTTAAGGGCACTGACTCTGCAAGTGGGGAGATTGTTAGTAAAGCGGCTGGAATGGCAAACCCGAGCTGAAAAATGTGGTGCGGTTTAGAAATCTTTCCCGGTCACACGGTGTACCATCCTCTGGGTGTCCCACGCATGTTTTAGCTGTACGAAGGGTGGCCTGCATCTGGAGATTTGGGACGCATGGAATCCGGACCAGGCAGTATTACTCTAAAGGGGCTGCATTTGCTGACTCATGCTCACCAAGCCTCTGCCCCACAAGTGTCCAACCTTGGTTCCCATCCAGCTGTGTGTTTAGGTATGGTCAATCCATGTTGCATCGCAGCCCCTGAACGAATCCTCTTAAGAATTTCTCTCCCACTCAGTGTCTTTTTTCTTTTTGTAATTTATTTTTATAATGGGGTGTAGCTGATTTTCAGTGCTGTGTTTCTTGCTGCCTTACACCCACCTGATTCAGTTACAGAGAGACATCGATAAATTCTTTTTCAGATTCTTACCAGTTGTATATAATCTTTTCCGGTGACTTGAGTGTGCTGAGTCCAGTCCTTTGAGCTTTAGAGTAAGCCTCGTTGATTGCCCATTTGGTCTATGGAAAGGTATCTGTGTTCATTTCAAACTCCTGGTTTATGCCTCACCTCAACCGAACTTTCCACTTTAGCAGTCATAAGTGTGTTTTCTAAGTGTGTGATTCTGTGTCTCTTTTGACATTTAGTTCATGTGTAGCAATTTTCAAATTCCACATATAACTGATATCTTATGATAAGTCTCTTGTTTTCTGTCTGACTTATGTCACTGAGAATGATTGTACCTAAGTACACCCGAGTTGTTGCAACTGGCCTTATTTCATTGATTTCATGGCTGAGGAACATTCCATTGTACATAAGTATCGCATCTTCTTTGTCCATGTTTTCCTTCCAAGGAGATTTCTGTTGTATCCAAGTCGAAGCTCTTGTAAACAGACCAGCACTAAACGTCGTGGTGCCTGTGTCCTATTGAGTTTTGGTTTTCCCAAGATAGATTCCCATGAGTGGAAGTGCCGTATGCTCTGTAGCTTTGTTTCTTAGATTTTCTGGGAAACAAACTACACTTCTCCAGAGTGCCGTTGGCAATTTACCTTCCCACAATCAATGTAAAAATGCTCCCTTTTCTCCACGCTCTCTCCTGCATTTCTGGTTTTTACACTTTGTGAGGATGGCCCTTCGGACTGATGCGAAGTGATACCTCTTTGTAGTGTTGATTTGCACCGTGCGCCTGTTTGGTTTGCCAGAAAGGGAATTGGCCTTTTTCCTGAATATATTGAGAAAAAAACGCATACGCCCTTTTTGGCCAAGGGCATCGTTTGAAGAAATTCTGCTCCTTTCCATGTGCTTTCAAGGCGAGACCAATCTACCTCTTGAAATCCCATTCCTGCAATTCTGCTTTGCTTTCAAGTCCTCTTCCGTGACTTACCTCAAGGAATTTTTCCACGTTAGGTATCATTTACAATCCTGCACGATTGTGAGTTGCAGTGCCCCTGAGCTCCACTTTTCAACTTGTTTCTTTGGGCACTGGCGTGGGTACCATGCAGTACGACTTCAAAGGGTCTGCATTTGCTCTCCGAACCTCACCAATCCTATCAGCCCCAAGTATCCAGCCTTATGTCTCACGCAGCTGTGGGTCTAGATGTGGTCAATCCAGGTTGCATCACAGCCCCTGAACGAATTTTGTGATATTTTCTTTCTGTGTCGTTTTTTTTTGTTTTTTAAAAATTTATTTTTATAATGGGGTCAAGGTGATTTTCCATTCTGTCTTTCTGGCTGCTGCACATCCACTTGTTTCACTTACGGAGAGACATTCATATATTCTTTTAAGATTCTTACCAGTCGTGTATATTCTTTTCTGGTGACTAGAGTGTGCTGAGTGCAGTTCTTGAGGTATAGAGTAGGTCTTGTCGACCTGTTTGGTCTTTGGAAGGGTGTCTCTGCTAATTTCAACCCTCTGGTTTATGCCTCACCCCACCCCGCCTTTCTCCTTTAGCAGCCTTAATGTGTTTTCTAAATGTGTGAGCCTGTTTCTGTTTTGTAATTTAGTTCATGTGTGACCATTTTTAGATTCCACCTATAAATGATATCTTATGCTAAGTGTCTTTTTGTGTCTGACTTTTGTCACTTAGAAATGATCGTATCTCAGTCCACCCGAGTTGCTGCAACTGGCCTTATTTCATTGATTTCACGGCTGAGTACTATTCCATTGTACGTAAGTACCATATCTTCTTTATCCATCTTTTCCTTCCAAGGACGTTTATATTGTTTCCAAGTCGAGGATCCTGCAAAAGTGCTGCACTAATAGTTGAAGTTCCTGTGTCCTATGGATTTATGGTTATCCCGAGATATACACCCAGGAGGGGAGTGCCGTATGCTCTGTAACTCTATTGACTTTTCATTAAGTAAGTAAGTAATTTTGCCCATGTTGGGTCTTCGTTATTTCGTGTGGGGTTTCTCTAGTTGCAGGAAGTTGGGGCTACTCTTCGTTGAAGTGCACGGGCTTCTCACTGTGGTGGCTTCTCTTCTTGTGGAACACGGGCTCTAGGCGTCAGGCTTCAGTAGTTGTGACACACGGGCTCCGTAGTTGTGGCTCACGGGCTCTAGAGCACAGGCTCAGTAGTTGTGGCTCACAGGCTTAGGTGCTCCGCGGCGTGTGTTATCTTTCCAGACCAGGGCTTGACTCCGTGTCCTCTGCCGTGGCAGTTGGATTCTTAACGTCTGCGCCACCAGGAAGTCCCTGTATCTCTGTTTTCTAGAATTTTTAGGAAACATCGTACCCTCCTCCAGCGTGGCTGTTAGCGATCGACGCTCCCACCGTCCGCGCCGCAGGGGCCCCTTTTCCCCACGTCCTCCCCTCCGTTTCTGGGTTTACGCTTGGTGACGTTGGCCACTCTGACCGGGGCAAAGCGCTACATCTCTGTAGTGTTGATTTGCTTTTCCCGCATGTTTGGTTGGCCACGAAGGTCGTATGGGTTTCAACCCGTACACCCTTTCTGGCCAACTGAATCGTAGGCAGTATTGAGCAGCTTTCACTTGCTTTAACGGCGAGTCCAATCTACCTCTTGCAATCCGGTTCCTGCACTTCTGCCTCGTTTTCAAGTTCTTTTCGGTTACTTACCCCAAGACATTTTTCTACAGTAGTCGTCATTTACAACCCTGCAGGCGTGGTGGATTGCAGTGCCCCTGAGCAGCTGTCTTCAACTTCTTTCTGAAACTGGCCACAGAGTGGCAGGATTGCTCCAAGCCCCATTCTGGTTACAGGGGCAGCCTAAGCCTTTGGGAAATTTCTCTTCCTGATTGGAAATTAGAGTGGCATGTGCTGTCCAAACACGTAGAGCTTGTCTGTCATTCCTTCCCCCCCCCTTCCCTTTCATCCTCGCGAGAAATTCCAAGCCTCGCACTGACCGGCTGTTGAGTGTGCTGACTGCCCCAGGTGGGGAGACTCTAAGAGCAGGGAACCCTCCCCCAGGACATGTGGAGATCAGGTGACTCTTCCAAATTCTTCCCGCCCATATGGCCCCCCATCCTCTGGGGTTCTGTCCGGACACCCCGTGGTTTCCAGTGGTGCGGGTCTCTGGTGTCGCCCTGCAGGGAGCAGCCCTGCTACCCGCGCCTGCAGCGCCGCCTGCTGGTCTCTCCGTCCTCCCGCCGGGCACAGTCTTCCACCTTCCCCGCTGCCTCGGATGCTCTGTCTCCACACTGTCCTGTGATCAGCCCGTCGTCCCCACCGCCGTCACCCCCAGCTCCACACCCCTCCTCCAGCCTCAGGGATGACCCAGGACCCTTCGTGGGCTCCCCCGCCTGCCCACCCTTGGTCTGTGTCCTCAGTCCACGTGTGAAGACAGGTGAGGATCCCCTCCAGAGGCTCCCAAACACTTCACCCCTACCTCCTCCCCGGGGTCGGCCCACGTCCTGTCGGGATGTTCCAGCCTCAGCAAGCCCCCAAGTACATGCCAAGGGCAGGCATCAGGCCTGCTGCGTGCACTGCTCTCCATCCTGCTGTATACACAGGCATGGCCCTTCCTCAGGGTGCAGGAAAGGCAGCCTTACCTCGGGACATGGGGCGAGGGGCTGCCCACAGGGTGGACGTCAGCTCTCGGCTCACCAGACAAGGGCAGCCGGGTTCTCGCTCCTTGGACCCCTTCTCAAGCAGCCTGACCATGACCCGGCTTTGTTCCCACCCCTGTTGTCCCTCCATTGGCCTCGCTCTTGTGAGCAGAACAGGACAGTGTGGCCTGTGGTCACAGGCTGAGACACACAGACACTGGCTGACCCGCGTGCACCCAGCTGACCAGGTGGAACGGGCACTGCACCAGGGCCCGTGCGGTGTGGGTTCACCTGCCCACAGAGAGGCCGGGCCTCTGCTCCTGGCTCCAGAGGTCACCTTGAGTCTGACGGGAGTGTCCGTGCTCCCTGGGCCTCACTCCAGGCTGGTCTGTGCTGACGGCGTGATACTCGGTGGGGCTTCCCGATTCCCCCCGGGGGCTGGAGACCAAGGCCAGGCACATGGTGGTCCCCACATTGACGTGACAGACCCCAATAAACCCTGCACTTCAGGACGCAGGTGGGATTCCCTGGGCTGCCACAGCTGAGGAAGCTGGACCTTGCTCATCCCCTCTGTCCTCGCTGATTTTAACTTGCATCCTTCACCATAATAAACCCTGGGTATAACAGATTCAGGGAATTCTGGGAGCCTTCAAGAAAAAAGAAGCCGGGGAGGGGGTCTCTGGGTCCCCAACTCTGCGGATGGCTCAGAAGTCGGTGGGGAGGATCTTGGACATGAAGGACCAGAAACGGGTAAAAGGAGCCCCATCCCCTTGGAAAAAGCCCCCCCCCCCCCCCCCCCCAAGGCCCCTTCATCCCATCACTAGCCTCACTCCTCCTCCCTTTGTCTTTAAAATTAAACCACTCTCTCCAGGAGGGCGAGAAGCTGATCTGTAAACTTAGTTCCCGCTTCTCCATTCTTTGGCCACTGAATAGAGCCTGTGCTGTACTGGTCTCGGCTTTGGTTCTGTTATTTGCCTACTTGAACCCATGTGGAAAAAGGAACCCTTCCCCACTGGGGCAGAGCGCCTCGCCAGGCTGGGGCCCGAGCAGGGTCCACATGACTTCACTTGGTAACAGTCTGTAAGGGGACGGTGGTCTCTTCCCGCGGGTGGGGGAGGGAACAGCTACAGCCACAGCACCGGCTCCATGGACGGCACGGCGGCTCGTGGGCCTGGACCGTGCGCTCTCGTCCCCCCACGCCTGACACCCCCTGACAGTCGTGACGCGGTGACACTGGCTGCTGGGCGTCCAGTCAGGAGGGACCAGAGGCAGCACCTGGTGCCAGGTGAGACGTGCCCTTTCACGGGCAGGGGACATAGGAGATATTAGGACTTTGTGTCTAGAAAACAAACCAAGCGGCTAGAAGGTGATCTGAGCTGTGGACTTGAAACCCACGTGCAACGTGAGGGCTCCCACTGGACACTGGCTCGGGAGCTTCCGCGCAGGCGAGACCACACCCGTGCTTCCCGCCCGACCCCTCCAG